GATAATAAAGCAAATGCAATTTTTGAGATGATACATTGTGACATATGGGGACCCTATCGAACTACTGCTTCGTGTGGTGCCTCATATTTTTTAACTATTGTGGATGATTTTTCAAGAGCTGTGTGGATATATATGTTGGTTGTTAAGTCCGAAGTAGAACGTGTGCTTCGTAATTTCTTTGCCATGGTCAAACGACAATATAACAAGAATGTGAAAATTGTTAGAAGTGACAATGGCATGGAATTCACTTGCTTGGATGGTTACTTTGCTGAAAATGGAATGATACACCATACATCATGCGTAAGTACACCCCAGCAGAATGGGCGGGTTGAAAGAAAACATCGCCATATTTTGAACGTGGCTAGGGCATTACGTTTTCAGGCGAATCTCCCTATTGAATTTTGGGGAGAATGTGTGCTGACTGCTGGATACTTGATTAATCGGACTCCATCCAAACTTTTGGGGAATAAGACGCCGTATGAATGTTTGTTTGGAGAGCCACCCAGTTACAAACATATTCGTGTATTCGGATGTTTGTGTTATGCTAGGGATATGAATAGAGAAAGAGATAAGTTTGCCACTAGGAGTCGGCGTTGTTTATTTGTGGGGTATCCCTTTGGTAAGAAGGGATGGCGGTTGTATGACCTTGAAAATGGTGACTATTTTGTATCACGAGATGTGGTGTTTTCAGAAGATGAGTTTCCGTATGCGAAAGTAAGTGCACCTAATACGACTAAAGATGTCCTGGGGACAAGTTCACTTGAGCCATTTGACCTTGTGGAAGACGAAGTGGATGATGCAAGGGAAGATGATCTACTTACAGAGGTTGCGAGTATAATACCGGAGATCACGGATCGGGTTCACAATGATGAGAATAACGAAGACAGGGGGGGCACCACAGGCGCAGAAGCTGGATTGGTTGCTGAGCAACTTGGGCGTGGTCAACGAATGAAGCACCCATCTAGTCGCTTAAATGATTATGTGACGTACACAGCTCAATGCATAAGCCCTTCAGCGTGTTCACCCAAACCAATCTCATCCTCAGGTACTCCTTATCCTATAGCGCATTATGTAACATGTGATAATTTTTCTGTGCATCATCGGTCTTTCTTGGCAGCTGTGACAACCGGTAGGGAGCCAAAATTTTATAGTGAGGCAGTGAAGGACTCTCGGTGGCGCCAAGCCATGAAGAATGAAATCGATGCACTTGAGACTAATGGAACATGGACGGTGGAAGATCTACCACCGGGAAAGAAAGCCATAGGCAGCAAATGGGTATACAAAATCAAGTATAACTCAGATGGAACTGTCGAGCGGTATAAGGCACGTCTGGTGATTCTTGGCAATAATCAGGTTGAGGGAATTGACTATCATGAAACATTCTCTCCTGTTGTGAAAATGGTGACTGTACGCACGTTCTTGGCGGTGGCGGCAGCAAAGGAATGGGAACTTCACCAGATGGATGTTCACAATGCATTCTTGCATGGTGATTTGGAAGAGGAAGTGTACATGAAGATGCCTCCGGGTTTTACAACTCCACAATTTGGAAAGGTGTGTAGACTACGAAAGTCTCTTTATGGATTGCGACAGGCTCCACGTTGTTGGTTTGCTAAACTCACAAATGCCTTACGGCAGTACGGTTTTTCTCAATCTCATTCTGATTATTCATTGTTTACTCTGAGTCAGAATACCATTCAAATGAGTATACTTGTATATGTTGATGACCTTGTAATTGGGGGCAATAATAGTGCTGCAATTCAACAATTCAAGGAATATTTGTGTCAATGCTTCCATATGAAAGACTTAGGAATATTAAAATATTTCTTAGGATTGGAAGTTGCTAGAAATAAGGCTGGAATTTTTCTCTGTCAACGAAAGTATGCACTGGATATTATTGCTGATGCCGGGTTATTGGGTGCTCGGCCAACAGGAATTCCGATGGAGCAACATCATCGGTTGGCAATGGCAGACAGCATGCCTTTGGTAGAGCCAGAAAAGTATAGGCGGTTAGTAGGCCGGTTAATTTATTTGACACTAACACGCCCTGAGCTGTCTTATGGTGTCCATGTTCTAGCTCAGTTTATGCAGAAACCCAAAGAGGAGCATTGGGAGGCAGCCTTGCGGATGGTTCGCTATTTGAAGGGCAGCCCTGGTCAAGGCATACTCCTTCGATCGGACTGCAATTTGCAACTGCAAGCATATTGTGATTCGGACTGGGCAAGCTGTCCTCTGACACGTCGCTCTCTCACTGGATACCTTGTTTTTTTTGGGCAACTCTCCTATATCTTGGAAAACTAAGAAGCAACATACAGTGTCCAGGTCATCTGCTGAAGCAGAGTATCGCTCTATGGCTGTGACCATCTGTGAGCTGCGATGGTTGAAGGGTCTGCTAGCTTCCCTTGGGGTGTTACATTCTGGTCTTATGCATCTTTACTGTGATAGTCAAGCAGCCATGCATATAGCGGCTAATCCTGTGTTTCATGAGCGAACAAAACATATCGAGGTGGATTGTCATTTTGTGCGTGATGAAGTTCAGAGTGGAAATGTTACTACCACTTATGTGCGTAGTTCTGAGCAGTTAGCCGATATCTTTACCAAGGCGCTTGGGAGACAACAATTCGAGTATCTTCTTCGCAAGTTGGGCGTTTGTGATCTGCACGCACCAACTTGAGGGGGGGTATTGAAGATTATATTATGTATATGTCTATCTGGGTACCTTTGGTTACTCTCTGTACCCGTTTTCCTCGGTAATATCTTTAGGAGTAGTTGAGGTATGTTAGACCTCTGTCATTGAGGTGTGATAGAACTCTGTTTTTCAATTGGGATGTAATAGGACTCTGGTCTCGGTACCTGTATATATGGAAGGCACGGAAGCAATAGAAAGGGGACTTTTCCCTCACAGAATTTCTTTCAAGCTGTGGATACACAGTTTTTTGATCCACATCAACTTGTCAGGAAAACCCAGAAGATGCGTAGCACAAAACGAGAAGTTCCAATTCAAAGCATCGTAAGCCTTAATAATATCAAGGATTGGATCACAACAGATAAATATACTAGTTGAAGCAAGATCGGATCACAATAGAAAAATATCAACGAAACGTGAGAAAAGGTAATAGTAGGATAAGAGATGAAATTTGGAATCCCAAAAGCATTATAGTGTACACCCTGAAATTTAAGGAACAGATAGCACAGCAATGATGGTAAACCCCGAAGCGAGCATAAATCAAAGAAAGGGATGGTCGAAAAACAAGAATAGGGTAGCATGGCGATTTGCCTCATGGGTATCAATTGGGCTTTCTGAAGCAAAGTGTTGGCAAGTCCAAATTCAACCTACAAATTATATTAGTTTTCGGACTTTAGGCTTTTGAGTTTCGTTCACAAATTAAAAAGTTCATATTCAACTCATACTATTATATGAATTTCAAATTCAAATCGGACTCATAATTAAATATATAATTATATATAATATATATTTTATAACTATGAATTACTACAAATTTATATATAAATTATTAACATTTTGTCATAATATGATTATAAATTATAGATATTACAATATTATATATATATATATATATATATATATAATTATACTTATACACGAGGTTGGGTCTTATTCAAATCTAATCTCAGCATGGCCTAAGTTCGGCTCACATTTAGTTCGGACTGCATATTTAGGTCCAAACTCTACACAACCCAATTAAATTTTAGCCTCAGTGAGCATTTTTCATGCCGAACAGATCGGATTCGGGCTGAACCAACTCCATTGACAACCCTAATTTACCTAGGGACAAAATAGTGGTTTGCCCAAGGAAAACAGAGAAAGAGCTCCAAATTAACTATTTTACAAACCTTTTTTTCCTTGGCAAATGATGTATATTGTTTGGATAGTCAAGTATTTGCTAAAATTTTTTAATTGCATTAAAAACATTTTTTTAATTAATTTTTTGTATTTTTACCACACACATCCTATCACAGAAAGTGTTATATTGTTATTCTAAGAAATTTCTATCCAAACACATAGCATTCCTCCGTCTTCTAGAAAGGAGAACGGAGCGCCCCAGGTTTCGCGGGTGCACCAATATTCATTACTGTGAAATCTCAAAATAATAACATATTATATATTTTTAGAGAAACTAAAGTTGTTTTATTGGAATTTTTATACTTGTTATAGGCTTCTTAACCTTTTTTGGTTTCGATTATAAACTTTTCCTTATACTGTTCGTACGTATATAAATTACACACTCATAATGATAATGATTTATAAATGAATATTTTACTAATTGATATGCAAAACTCGAAATGTATTGATTATTTAATTTTTGTATTATTTGACCTTCTTATGTTCTTGTTCTGGTTAAATGCACAGTAGCATGAGCACAAGTAATTACTTAATTATGTGAATAGAGTACAAATTTTATGATTATTTTCTTGAATATTAACTACGAGTTAATTGTACCTTAAAATAATAATTTGTTTATAGCACGTGTCTATTATTGATGTTTTTTTAATTATCTATGAACTATTAAATATAGAAACAAATTATAAAACTTTCAATATTGAAAAAATAAAATCATTAGTAATATTTAGAACGTTTCTTATTGTCTAATTAGAGTATTAAATTGCAATTAACTTAACTTATGATCGATACAAATGCATATATTTGATCTAAAATTACATCTAATCTTTTTGTGCTAGGATTTTAACTCTCAACCTCGAGCTAACTAGTTCGTTAACACGTACGTATGTGCTAGCTGGCTTTTATATGGCTAACTCATTTCAATGAATTAATTAAATTTGATTTTATAATTGTTTTGGTCAGACCTCAGATTGAGCGATCACACGTGCATACTTCTACTTGTCAACCCTCATTTCACCTAGTTGACTCCTTCCTTTCACCCCAAAAAAAAAAAAAGTGCAGCAGCTATGGTTTGGATTGTAGATCCTCCTCCATATTAAGTTCCTTACAATTAGCGCAGTTATATTTTTCAAAGATCATAGCTAAAGACAACTTTCACCAGTATACGATTTGTTATTCAAGATCATTTACAAGTGTAGTTTCAGCAATTGATGAAAGGGAAATGTGCTTAATCCCTAACAAAACTCAAAGCTTGGGATGTTAGCACGTACAATGGGCAGGTGAGAAATATAACTCCCTGACCAGCTGCCAAGGAATTATCTCTGTTTCTTCATATTAATGATCCATAAGCAGCAACTGTTAGTTGGAGGATACAATTTCACAAACCAATTAATTCTGCCTTTGAAAGGTAGCTGGATAGGGGCGCTCTAATATAAAAGAAAGACTGATAGATTCTTCCAAAAAGAAGTGTATTTTTCCTTAACTGGACTTCATGCACTAGAATCATGGATCCACCACCCTCAGACCCTCCACCGAGTCAAGCACCACTTCTATCACCATCACCACCTCAACCTCCTCAGTTCGGTGGATGTCTTGAATCATTGTAAGCTTTTCTCCCTTTTCTTAGAAGAATTAATTAGAGAAAATTGAAGCTGAAGTTTAGCTTTAACGATTTCTATTCATTATTTTTATTTTGCAGCCTCTGGTTTCTATCCTGCTGTGGTTTGTTGTCATGTTGCTGCCCTCCACTCTTTGAGCCATGGCCTCCACCTCCCTAGAGATTGCAATGCTTGCTTTTGATGTCTAAGGAATTTGACTACATTAATTTCTTATCCTGAAATCAGTGTCACCACATTAGTTTTATGCATTATTGTGCCACACCTTTGTATGTTTGTTAGTTTATCTTTCCTTTAACACTTCATGATAAGACTTTCATTGTTCTTGAAGAAAGAAATGAATCAGAATGTAGGGAATCATGATGTCCCTCTTCTTTTGTATTGAACATTATCCCAGTGAATGTGTTAGTCCATGGACTTGGAGGTTTCATCCCAGAAAAAAAAAAAGGGTTAAAAACAAAAAAGTTCCATGTAGTATACCTAATACACAAAAAGCCTCCTGTGGTTTTAAAACATACAAAACGACACCTCATATTTTGAATTAAATTGTAAACCAACAAAATTTGTTATATTTAACGAAATCCGGTAAGTTTAACAGTCGAGACTGTCATTTTCGTTAAGTTTAACGAATTCTGTTGGTTTATAATTTAGTTCAAAACATGAGGTGCCATTTTGTATGTTTTGAAACTACGGGAGGCTTTTCTGTGTATTAAGTACACTACATCGGGCTTTTTTGTTTTGAACCAAAAAAAAAAAGATGACTAAAACTGAAACAAAGGAAGATAGAAAAATGCACAAAAGCCATGATACTTAAACAAGGGAAAATTGGCTCTTAAGGCTACATAGCCAATAATTTGTGAGAAATAAGCGTTTAAGGCATACTCAGTAGTACAAAAGAACAGGTATTTAAGAGCGTCTCTTACTTGTTATGGCACCTTTTTTTTTTTTCCGCTCAACAGTCTTGTCATGATTCAAGGGGCAAGAAATTGAGAAAAGGGAAGAGAGAGGATTAACTTGAATGCTAAGAGAAAAATTGCATTAGGAAGCTAACTGCACCTAGCCCACCAAGACAAGGTGAACGCTTAAAAACATAGAAATTATTTGGGACAATTTCGTATAGCTCCCCTCAAGTTTCAAACCTACACTTACCTCCCCAGATGTGGAAAATGGCTCATTATCTTTTGATCATTCTGTTGATGGTTATTCATGGTGTACCTATTGAAATTTATACTTCAATTTTTCTTCAAGTTTTTCATGCAATGGTAAAAGATCAATATCCTTCTCTAGTTAGGAATAGAGAATCGTCATGAGTTATTTTTTTTAATGGTCCATGCAAATTAATTTCTTTCATGAACAAAGTTCTTGATCTCAATCAGCTTATGTACCGAGCTCATCATTATGTTCTTCAACAAGCATGTGCTTCAAGCCTTCAAACTTATTTACCAATTCAATTTTCGTGAAGAATAGGTTTTAGCAGCTCCTTATTTGATTAACGCAATACCAACTCTCGCGTCTAATTATCTCTGGTCACAGACCACATCACTCATCAAATGCTTTTTCATACCATATCATGTGACCATGTTCTCAATACATACCTCAGGGGACTATAACAGACGATTATGACTTTGAGCCCTCTCTCCTTTTTTTCCCCCTTGTAAGTCTTCTTCGAATCCAAAAAAAAAAAAAAAAAAAAAAAATTATTCATGTGTAACGTAGCACCAAGAATCCCATGCACTAACGTCTAATTCCCTAATTTCCCAATTGTTTCACAAGCAAATTATCTAGATAGCCACTGAACTTTTTGAATAGTCAAGATTTTGCCATTCAACTATTAAAAGTATGTTTTTATCCACTGAATTATTAAATGTGTAAATTTTAGGTCATTTTATCTGATTCCACCATTGATTCTGCCGGATGTAAGGGTTCACACGATTTACGAGACATACTATAAATAGTTGGATCTGACAAAGTTAACGGTAAAATCAGATGGAATGATCCAAAATTTATATTTTTAATAATTCAGTAGATAAAAACATACTATTAATAGTTGAGTTGTCAAAACTCGATTATTCATAAAAATTTAGAGGTTACCAAGATTATTTGCTAATTGTCGCCCTGTGTATTTTGGGCGTTGAAGCAGGCCTTCTTCAAGATTTTAGAAAACGAAAATAAGAAAAAAAAGAAAAAGCCCAAAATCTGGGAAGCCCATTTTTTGGTTTTCCATCCAAGGCCCAGTATTCATCGCCAGGGCCAGTTATAAAGTTCTGCGCTGGTTGAAGACTGGTGGGGTGGTTGAGCGATGATTTATGAGCAAGGAAGCTCCAGCGTGAGACTGTAGACTGCAGTATACATATATATACAAGCCCGCAGCCCCGGACTCCCCCGGTCACTTTCTCCATTCGACGTGGTCAGTTTCATTTTCATAGCCCTTGGAGTATTGTGTAATACTGGTAATTTTTGCTCGAAAAAGGATGGCTGGAAAAGGTGGAGCTACTCCGGCGACCTACTCTCCATCGCTGACGACGGTCAAGGGCAAGAAAAAGCCCCCCATTTTCGCTGATGATGCCAATTGGGTTCGCTCTGATGGCCGTCACTTCCACCAGTGCAGGCCTGCATGTATGTTGTACACTGATTATATACTGTCTGTTATATTCTGAGTTTTGGCTCTGATTAATCCATGTTTAGGATAGAACTCTGTTGCATGTCATGTTTTTGCGCTTGAATATCTTCAACTGATCTATTACTCCTTTCTCCCCGTGCGGTGAATTTGAATGAATGATTTTCTTTCAATCACTAGAATTTATTTTGGATTGGAAAGATGGGTGCTTGAAAACAACCAGTTTATTTAGTGCTGTGAAAAACCCGGTTTTAGCAAAAAAGACTGAATTTTGGTGCATGTGATAGAAGGGCGTTTGTCTTAAATCTTGGTATTTAGAAAAGTACACCTCTGTGTTTATTGTGTTTTGCTTGTGTAATACCTTAATGTAGACAGTTAAGGTCCTTATCGGGATTGTGCCATTCTTGATGCGATTAAAATTATGTTGAATTATTGGCGTTGCACGGATTATATGAGAAAAACTTGATTGTAGTTGATTGACTTCTACATCTGGAAGCTGATGGTGCTACTGGTTGTGTTTCATCTGTCAGTAGTTCGTAGAGTCCATAGACTTTATCTTTTATGGTCAAGGCAATTTAAGGGGATCACGTCAATATAGTTACAGAGGTTATGCGAGGGAATGACCATAAACAAAACATGGATGGTTGCAAGTAAATGCATAAGTTTCTGGAAAGACAGCAAGGCAATTCATACAACTGAGGGCTTAGAGTGCAAACCAAGAGTATTATGTCTAGAGTCACCTAATTTGGCTTCTGATGAATTTGCAGCATGTTAAGCGTGCTTCAAAAGTCAATTGAGGAAGGAGCCTGTTAAAATTTGTAATGGTTGATGATTAGGTTCCTCTATGTTGAAGGGGCCCATGGCGAAGGATATTCTCATGCCACGTGGTTGAAATGCCCTTTTTATTATGCATGTTACACATGTGGTGTTTAAAAGCACCTTGTTTTGGAGACTTGGAAAGAAAAGTTTTGGCCCTTATTTAACTGCATTTACTTCTTTGATAATAGAGGAGAGCATACTATATTTGTATTTAAGGTTGACAAGAGAACTTATTAATTGCTTTCATCAATCAAGGGGAATGCTTGTCTGATGGGACCGTTGTGGGATATCATTGGAGGATCTTAAATTGGAAGGATATATCGCTAGGTGGAGATGTACCCTTAGTTCTTTCCATGAATGCCATGATCTTATTGTTTTTGGTGTGTGGTCATGTAATTTTCCAATTCCTCTACTACATTTGAGATTTGATTACTTCTGGTGCTAGTTCATGTTCACCTTCTTTTGCAAGTATTGCTGGTACTTAACTTGCAATGTTCCATGGCTTGGTTGGCTGTGACCCTAACATCTTTTTGTTCCTTTTGGGCTATGCGTGTAGTAAAAACTTATAATCAAGGCACTTGTTCATTTTTCTGACATCTATATCAAAAGGAATTATGAGTAGTACCTAAGATAAGGTATGGCTCTATTGAAGGAGAAAAAATGTTTTAGAATAGGGAGTCTCAAGCCCAACTCTGATCAATTGACTTGGGAATAAATCTTGTGATGTCTTAAGCCTGTGGAATACTACGTTATATCAGGGCTTGGTTTGTTGAAAGGTAGGCAGACTGGAGAAAATCAGTCTTTTGTGATGTGGTCTGGTTTAACGAACCATTTTCTGGACAACATATTCTGCGACTGTGTACATTGTAGCATGATCAAATTGTTTAACCATCTTCTGTGTGCCTTCTTAAGCTATTGTATCACTGATCATTAATTGATCACTCAGATGTTTGTGACTTACAGTTCTACGGACAAATGCAGTCAATTCTGCCTCTGGATCTGCTTATGCGGAGTTTGGAAACACCAAGGTCATAGTGTCAGTGTGAGTATGTAGCTTAATTAGCAGATGTTCTTTTATTTCATTTTATTGTATGACTTAAGTAAGTAGCAGATTCTCTGCTACAATTCAAATACTGGTACCGTTGTATCTGAGGGTTATTTCATTAAATGGTTTAGGCCTCTGCTTAGGGTGTTTCTAGTTGTCTAGGTAGAGAAGAAAAATGAAAAGGATGAAGAAGTTTAGTGTTAAACTTCCTCCAAAATAGTTCTTTTGTTTGTACATCTTGTCATCCTTGACTTTCTCTTTCTATTCTTCTGTTCTGAATCAAAGGTGTGTGAAGAGTGAAAATAAGGAAAAAGCAACATAATCATTTGTTCATCAATTTTCACGGAACCAGCTTCTGAGTGTTTTCTTGCATCCTGTTCTACATCTGGAAGTTGGTTTTGCTATCAGATTATGACTAAATTTTTCTGGCCATTGTTAGATTTGGGCCAAGGGAGAGTAAGAAAGCAATGATGTACAGCGATGTAGGTCGGTTGAATTGTAATGTCAGCTACACAACTTTTGCTACTGTCCACCGCAATCAGGTAAACTTTAGAGCTATCTAGAACCCTTATAGTGTCATGAACTTTTCCTTCTGCTTTACATCTTTCCTTGAGAATTTTCTCTATAACTAAAATAAGGCTTCTTATGCATTAGGGATCTGATAGCAAAGAATTATCATCAATGCTGTATAAAGCTCTGGAGGGTGCTATAATATTGGAATCCTTTCCTAAGACAACTGTAGATGTTTTTGCTTTGGTTTTGGAATCTGGTGGCAGTAAGTTTGAGTTCTACGTTGTGCCTACGGAGTAAGTCTGTGATGTCGTAGACTTGGAACTGATGCGCGGTATTGGCAGGTGATCTTCCTGTGATTATCTCATGTGCCAGTCTTGCTCTAGCGGATGCCGGGATCTTGTTGTATGACTTGGTTGCCGCTGTTTCTGTGGTATGATACGAGAAATGCACTCTTATGGCAAGGTTTTAGACTAGATGATACCAAATATCTACCATGGTTTGACCTCCAGCACTGGCTATAAAACTGATTTTGTTGATACTATACCACACAGGGTAGGAGAGTGGATCGTGATCAGTGTTGTTATCCTGTTTCTACCTATTGCATTTGTCATCACCTAGATAATCATGTTATGTTAGGAAACAATTTTCACCTCTTGAATCCTGTCAATTTTCTGTATGCTCTGGATGGCAGCATTGTGATAGCACAGTGGAGGGAAATGAGGTTGGTGAGATATTTCCTCTGAAAACATGTGTTTTGTGTATTTCGTGAAAATTTTTCTTTGAGGCTGTGTTGCCTGTTCTTTAGGCGTGATCTGTTTTGTTATGTAGGTTGATATTTCCCTGTGGCTAATCTTACGAGAAAGACAATGTTACACACGACCATCTTTTGCTGTTCCTCCTTTTTATTAGCTTCATGCAACTTTGTCCAAGTATATGTGAGAAGCTTTTTATTTACAACCTAAAACACCTCCAAATGGATTTATTTTTGGATCCTAATTATTTGCTAATTGTTATGACTTATAGCCAAGACTTCAGGCTCCTTTATCCATTTGCTTGCGACACTTTTTCAGTGTGGCCTTTTACCTTGTCCTTGAAGAAGTTTTCCCATAACAATTGATGCACGGTGTTCAGGTTGTTATCTATCTGCCATCCATCCAACTTTAGCAATATGTTTGCTATGCAAACAGTTTACCTGCAGTGGTGGGCTATTTGGGGAAAATATATTATGATACTGCATCTGCTATCAAAGAATTTCCTTTAGTAATTGTTTCTATGAACTATTATGATACTGCATCTGCTATTGGTGAAGTATTCATATTAGATGTGATTCTTGTGTGGTGCGTTAACTAAATTGCTTTGTTTTCCTGTTTATAGTCCTGCCTTGGAAAAAACCTTGTCATTGACCCTATTTTAGAAGAAGAAAGCCACCAAGATGGGAGCTTTATGATTAGTTGCATGCCTTCACGTAATGAGGTCACTCAACTTACTGTTACGGGAGAATGGTCAACCCCAAAGATTAGTGAGGTAAGCTATGAGGCTCGCTATGTGTGCTAACGGGGGCTGTGCTTGCTCTGTCCCTTGTGCCAGATAACAGGGCATAAGAATTCATTAATAGTTTATACCTTTGATTGCTAAGTAGAACTTAGGAAACTAACGCACTCTTTTTTTTTGCGAAGGCAATGGAGCTGTGCCTTGATGCCTGTTCAAAGCTTGCAAAGATCATGCGGTCAAGTTTGAGAGAACCTCTATCTGCTTCTGAGGAATAAGGAGTATTAGTACTTTCGCTTAGTACATATATAAATACATTTTCCAATTTCTTCTAGATTTCTTTTTTGTTGGGCCAACAATTTTGTGGCTTGCTTGAAAGTTCATAACAAGTGGTTGGCCTGAAATTTTGAGCAGTTCTTTGGTGCTAATTCTGACGATTGCTCCTCTTATATATTTTCTTGCTTCATTTAATCAGAAATATCTATATTGAGTCTTCTTGTGAGTATGTGTAGGATGAATTTGAGAGCTCACCATTAGAATCCAGTATAACTGAGGCAGTGTAAAGACATTGTTGGTCTTCCCATCAGGCTTCTGTACCTGCTGTTATTAATTAGTTCTCTTGGGACTTACCATTAGGAAAATTGTGTTGTGGCTTAGGACAAGATGAGATTATGTTTGGTTGAGTTTCAGATCCAAACCTAATCTGATATATCCACATGCATTCGTGCAAATCATAGTAACATCTGCAAATATGTACAAAACTCCAAGTTGATCAAACTCGTGTAGTTGTAATCATGTGGTTGTTCTACTTCAATAGTACTAATACTGGCAACAGCCAACCACATCAAGGCTGCCTAGACAGGTAAAAGGGGTTCTAGCTAACTTCTAAGCCAGCTTATTTCAGCCAACCACATATCAATTCAAGGCTGCCTAGACAGTTAAAGGGGTTCTAGCTAACATCTAGGCCAGCTTATTTCATGCATCGTTAATCTTGTTGCAATTGGTTCCCCAGTGTGTGAATGGCTATTATCCATCCATGGATGATATGATGGAGTGGGCTCAGATTTTGGCTTGAGGTTGACGGTCGGACAAATCAACATCCACATATGAATACGAATGATCTCCGACTAGGTAGGTGCCCAATCCATTGATATCGTATTTTTCAATGCAAATATGAATTGTTTGACAGCAACCAGAGCTTAGCTAACTGTAACTGTTATGGATTTGGATGGTTTTGCTTTCCGCAAAGTTTAAGGTGAATGGTCCGCCCCAGACCAAATACCAATGATTAATAACCCTTTGATATCAGTCAACGATAAATTTATATCCAAAACTAGTACTACTATAAAAGTAAGGCACTGGGAATAAAGAGTTGCTTATTTATTCCCTATTCAGACAGACAACAATGAAAAATTGGTGCTTTGAGAAAGAGGAAAAAGACTGACCATCTTCGGAACAATTTAGCACATGTATTCTTTTTCTTCCATACGTGTATTCTTGTCATTGAGCAACGGCTTCTTGTGTTTCTATGACAAATCCAAATTAAAGAAAGGGTCGACTTCCATTCCATTTTAAGTACGTCGAGACTATTTCTGCAATTCCGCGGTCGTTGTAGGGGCCACGAAGCCACAATTTTCCATTGTGGACTTGCGGAAATCTGGCCGCCTTTGTCGAACCGAGGCCTGCCTGCGCCAGCTAAGAGTCAGTTTTTCTTTTCTAAAGTTGATGGTATTAAACTACAGTAATTGCTTTTGACTGTTGCGGTTCTGCGGGGAAGCCATAATTTTATCCATCATTACGCTTAGGACTCGTTTTTATTCTTCACGGCAAATACTAGTGCAGACTTAGGACTCGTTTGGAACTAAATAAAGAAAGAAACATGTCTTAGAAATTCAAAATTGCAAATTATCAAATTAAACGATACTCATGCACCTAAGTAATATAATTAAGCACTGAACAAGTATTTCAATAATAAAAAAAAAAAAAAACTATACTAATAATAACTCTATGCCTCCACTCGTAAACCTTGCATCCACCAGGTTACCAAATCATCATCAGTTATGACCTGCGAATATGCAGTTTTTATGGATGCAAATTGGTTGAGAGCCGTCGCGAATTTGCTTGAAGGATCGGTTGCTTGCTCCAATAACAAAACGTACGTTGAGTCTTGGCATATATAAGCATTTGCCGAAACCAAAAGAGTGACTCAAGAATCACTTTTTTTTTTGGTCTGGTTTGGTTTGGCTGGCCACTCGACTCGGTCTTGGGTTGCGGAGACTTCAGACTTCAATTACTTAGGTAGTCTTGTAAATGGTACGTTGCTCGGAGTTTTGTCTGTGTCGGGGCCATGGGTTCAAGTTTTCTAGTCTCCGTCGTCAGGCATAATGGCATATGAGTATATATATAGGGGGCAGGGGTGGTGGAGGCAGTGGGGGAGGGGGGCAGCTGAGTCATGGTCAAGACTTCCAGACTAACAAACTCAAAAAGATAGATTGATAGATCCGGTCTCCTTGGGTTTGACATGTACATCTTGTGGAATTCAATGCTGACCATCTTTGTATTATTACATATGCTCCCTGCTTGAAGTTTTCCTATATACTACTACTGGTATTTAATTATATGCATCTCCTTCCTTGGTACACACCGACTAATACATTTGCAACATTCCAAAAACTATGCGTAAAGATTTGGTGTTTTACCAAGACACCATTTTGGAACTGGACTGTATTAGGGTTTCATATATATTCCACGCACCAAAAAGATTAAAAAAAAAAAAAAAAAGGTGATAGTACGTAGTTTGGATTCTATAGTTTTCTCCACACTCGTGATCGGACTTTTTTGGTGTTGATCGGCGTGAAAGGGTTCAAAGTCATACTCTACTCTTTCACGCACGGTTCAAAGACATGATTAGTCCACACACCATACTATTGTCTGTCAAGGTTCATGTCTGTAATGTGAAATGTTTCCGTATTGCAGACCCCAAATAAATATTTGAACACTTCGACGAAATAAATCTACAAGCAGAAAAGTAAAAAAAAAAAAAAAAAGGAAATAAATCAGATGGGCATTTATCAACTCGAAATGAAGATGCCATAAGAACAAATCTCGAAATTAGTCAACTCCTCGGATCATTTATAAAATTCAAGTGACACCGCTACTTGACAAAACAATTATTAGAAGGATCTTTTTAGTAAACGTAGAATAGGTATTCATTAGGGTCCCGTTTGGAGTTTATGAATTATAAATTAACGCTTTTGATATAAATACTTTTCAAAAAATGTATTTCTAAGTTATTAAAACTAGGCTACTTAAGTTACGAAAAAATTAGATACCAAATATTTTTTATTTTTTAAAAAAATACAACTTATTGTTTAGCTGTGTGTTCATATCTCATTAATCTTTTGTATTAAAACACTTTTTCAACTTAATTTTACTTTTATTGACAATTAAATACCTAACCAAGCCTTTATATATATATATATATATATAAACAGCCCTATACACAATTAAATTCGAAGTATGTGGAGGTGGACTCATTAATGGTGAGTCAAATGCATATTGTATTTTCAATAGCTCATTTCATATACTAACATAATAATAAAGCAAAAAAATAAAAACTATTCTAATTTTTTCTTTGCTTCGGCTCTTTTCTTCGTTTCTCTTATAATTCAGATTTAAAAGAAAAAAAAAATGGACCAATGCATTGATTCAAATAAAATATATGAACTTGCTTTCTTATAAAGTCGAATGTTTAGGTGCATATATAGATTGCAAGACAGGATTTGTGTAAAAAAAAAAAAAAAGACTTTATTTGTAAATAAAAACACAGTAAAATATTGAAATATTCCAAACCAAAACCACAGAGTATATTCTGTACACTAAAATGGTGACATACTTACCAAATAATAGCTACTTCTTTATTTACATCCGACTTCTTTCATGTCAATTTCCCATCAGTTTTTATTTTTTTTCTTTTCTTCTCCAGTTTTCTTTGAAAGGTTTATCAAGTATATCACCGGGTTCGAAACCTCCCGATAAGAGGAGAATAAACGATTTAAATATTTTTAAATAAAGTATCAAACTAATCAGACTGTGAAGTTTCCCAAATATATTCATCTTCCAAAGAAAATAAAGAAAAGATATCAAAAGAAAAAGGAACATGAACAGAAAAGTTTCCTTAACTCCTCTCCAAACTTTGAACCTGTACTTTTCCAACAGTTGCAAAGCCTCATACATTATAGCCTATTGGGATGGAAAATGATGCTAGTATGGTTGGCAATTCGGCATAGTGATAATGGTAATCAAATGAAATAAACTTCTGGAAACTTGTCTATTCTTTTATTTTCCTCTGACTTTCAAAGTATCAGTGTGAAAACGAGAAAATTGATTCATCCATCTTTATTGATTATTCCCTTCTGATTGCCAAAGCATCATCATCAAGTGAGTTAGTAAGTGGTTCCCTCCTCCCTATACGCCTTCTCTTCGGCAAACTTTACGAAGAACACAACAAAATCATGCAAAAGAGACTTTGTAACAAAAGGCAGTTTGCAAAAAGATTATTGCTCTCCCACTTGACATCCCTGCATATCCCAGAAAAATGCTGGTAAATCTTTCTGTACAATTGTTTGCAGCATTTTCATTGAACTCTACTACCATCTTCAGTAGATTCCATTTTGTTGCTAATCTCTATTTCCAGAAAAGATTGTTTCTTGATATGGACATCTCATAGACACATTTGGTTCGAAGAACTGTGATTTTTGTGTTAACTACATTGGATTTTTTACTCTCTTAAATGGGAATTCTTTCATGTTTTTTCTGGTATAACTTGAATCATATTAATATTTATCATTTGAATATTAGAACCTACAATTTGTTTTGTCATGTAATGGTGGAAAAATCAGTTATTATGCTCCTTTCCACTTTAAACGGTTCATTACTTCTAGAACAGTAGCTTAAAGATTTTTGAACCCGGGACGGTTTGGGGATAGATTTGAACTGCAAATTTAATGTTCTTAGGCTAATGCATATGATGAATGGTTGGTTGACTGGTTCTTGCTTCGACTGGACTTCGAATCCGAGGCTTTTCCCAAAGTGGTTTATGAATTGACTGAATTATATAAGAAATTCGAGGGACTTGGTCACATGGTTGACCTGAACCTTTGGTCCAACTAGGAGGAGATGGTGGATTTTTTGTTATTACTCCATATACAAGTTGATACATAACCTTTTCATTTCTTCACATGATCTCTGCTGAAGGAAAGGAAACTACAGCTGGGGCTTCTTTGC